TATACTGATTTAGGTTTGATGGGTGTTCATTAGAATTATCGACTTTGCGATCTCTTGTCTTAAAACTCCTAACTTTATCTTCCTCAAAGTCTTTGAGATCCCTATCTTATTTTTTCTTTTTAATACTGATGGTATTCTCAAAGCTTTCTCTAACTTTTTTTCCTATTTTATCCATTAATTATATGCATTCTGATTTCTCTAAGTGAGGGGTTAATATTTCTTTCAGGTTATTAGTTTCCTCATCTAATAATGTTAATACTCTTTTACTTTTACAAATGATATGGTTAATCTACTCAAAAGAGCAGTGATCCAGAATTCTATTCCAGACACTATTGAATTCTGGATCATCTTTGTCCGCTTCTGATTATAGCATTAGCCTAAGACCCCTGGGTATAATTCTATTTTCCCAATATTTTTCTAGGGCTGCTATTTCTAATTTTATTTTCATTTTTTTAATAATACATTTTTTAAATGAAAAGACAGACTTCCTCCATTGGTTTTCCATAGTAAAGAGGACGAAGTGTGTCCTGTAAGTTCAAATTCTACCTTGCACTGATCCCTACCCTAAGGGTAAAAAGTGACATATTGATACAATTCGTACAAAACTGCTGCTCTTTAGTAGTGATGTTGCAAACCGTTCGCAAACTTGCCGCGAACGGTTCGCCACGGTTCGCCACAAACCGTTCACGGCGAACTTTTTTTTTGTGTCAACTTTTTGTAGATTCTGTATTTCATTAGCTGAGTATTTAAAACCTATTTGTAGATACAATTATTATTCATGTACTAAAGAGTAGTGATGTCGCGAACCGTTCGCGAACTTGCCGCGAACGGTTCGCAAGGGTTCGCCACGAACCTTTCGCTGTGAACTCCGGTCAGCTGACACATCCCTGCCAATCTCCGGCAGACCCTCCCTCCCAGACCCTCTCACCTCCTGGACAGCATCCATGTTGAAGCTGCCTTCAACATGGATGCTGTCCAGGAATTAGGAGGGTCTGGGAGGGAGGGTCTGCCGGAGATTGGCAGGGATGTGTCAGCTGACCGGAGTTCGCAGCGAAATGTTCGTGACGAACCGTGGCGAACTGTTCGCGGCAAGTTCGCGAACGGTTCGCGACATCACTACTCTTTAGTACATGAATAATAATTGTATCTACAAATAGGTTTTAAATACTCAGCTAATGAAATACAGAATCTACAAAAAGTTGACACCAAAAAAAAAAGTCACACACAATATTTTGTTGGACCGCTTTTAGCTTTGATTATGGCACGCATTCACTGTGGCATTGTTTCGATAAGCTTCTGCAATGTCACGATTTTTTTCCGTCCAGTGTTGCATAAACTTTTCACCAAGGTCTTGTTTTGATGATGGGAGAGTTAGACCACTGCACAAACCTTTCTCCAGCACATCCCAAAGATTCTGAATGGGGTTAAGGTCTGGACTCTGTGGTGGCCAATCCAGTCTAATGCTCCCTGAACCACTCTTTCACAATCTGACCCTGATGAATCCTGGCATTGTCATCTTGGAATATGCCGTGCCCTCAGGGAAGAAAAAATCCATTGATGGAATAACCTGGTCATTCAGTATACTCAGGTAGTAAGCTGACCTCATTATTTGGGAACATAATGTTGCTGAACCTAGACCTGACCAACTGCAGTAAACCCAGATCAATGCACTGCCCCCACAGGCTTGTACAGTAGGCACTAGGCATATTAGGTGCATCACTTCATCTGCCTCCCTCCTTACCCTGATGTGCCCATCACTCTGGAACAGGGTAAATCTGGACTTATCAGACCACATGACATTCTTCCATTGCTTCAGAGTCCAATCTTTATGCTCCCTAGCAAATTGAAGCATTTTTTTCTGTATAGCCTCACTGATTAGTGGTTTTCTTAAGGCTACACAGCTGTTCAGTCCCAATCCCTTGAGTTCCATTCACATTGTGCATGTGGAAATGCTCTTACTTTCACTATTAAACATAGTCCTGAGTTTTACTGTTGTTTTTCTACAATTTAATTTCATCAAACGTTTAAGTGATCACCGATCACGATCAATTTAGTATCTTTTTCCACCACATTCCCTTCCCCACTATCCTTCCCATTTTTAATAATGCGTTGGACAGTTCTTAACCCAATTTTAGTAGTTTCTGCAATCTCCTTAAATGTTTTCTCTGCTTGATGCATGCCAATTTGACCCTTCTCAAACAGACTAACATCTTTTCCACGACTATGGGATGTCTCTTTCGACATGGTTGTTTAAGAAATGAGAAGCTACTCATTGCATCAGTTGGGGTTAAACAACTTGTTGCCAACTGAAAGATAACCGCCCATGCAGTAACTATCCAATAGGAGGCTCTTACATATTTGCTTAGTTGAATCCAGGTGGCGATTTTTTTTTGGCCAGGCAGTGAATGTTACAACATCGGGTGAATTATTTTGCTACATTTCAATTTTGCTAAAATGTAACAATATCTGATTATGTTTTAGCCAACATCCCTGTGTCTGTAAAATCTGACAATTCTCTTATAGAAAACAATGGAAAATATGTGTTTTCTTGAAGTTTTAAAGCAGGTTTCGAATAAGTATTATAAAGTACTGTACTCTATTAAAAAAGAATTCTTTATAAATGTGGACATATAATTAACACCAAAACTTGGAAAAGACATAACAAGTGAAACACAGGAAGAGCTCTGTTCTGACAGAGAACGCATTACACCTTTAAGTAACATCAAAACTTAAGTTACTACATATGAAGTCAAACACAAGAAAAGCTCTGCCCTGACAGAGAATGGACTATACCTTTAAGTAACCAATATCCATCAATGAAAACACAATGGCTATAAAAGATTCGAAATCCTGTTATCTTCCCATCTTGAAAAGCCTGCGGAGATTGGGTGAAACACATAGAGTGGATAACATTTTCTAACCGATGCCAATTTCAGGGATTCCTGTAGTTGCATTTACACAAAGTGCTCATCTGGTGGGAGAAGCTTTTTATCTGTGTCTGGTATTCTAGCATTTAACTGATCCATCTGCAAATACTAAATTCGTATCTGGACACTAAAGCATCACCATCATCACTTCTTCATATCAATTTACACAGCAGCAAAGTCTCCAATTGCCATACAGGTCTTGCTGCCTTCAAATTAGTGGTAATATACCTCATAGACAGTTTCTGCTTTAACATATCACTGACATTGCTGCATTTACAAGTGGGCATTCGTATTTATTTAGATTTGTTTTTTTATTCTGCTTTTACTGTGTTTAAGAGGTTTTTAACAAGGGTTAGGAATATATTTTTATTTTTATGCACAATAAATTTTGACTCTATTACATTTGCTGTGTCATCCCGTATATACCTATTTTTAAACCCACCCTATGTGATACATCTATGGGCAAGTGAATACAAATTAAACTCTGCACAATATAAACATTATATTCAAAATAGAACCCACTGAGATTCACTCTGGGAATGATTTATTGAGCGCTGATACTTTCACTTTGCATATTAGTTTTAAAGATTTGGGGAATAATCTTTTTTTGTGTTTAACAGCCACTGTACAAACGTTATTGTATATTATTATTTATATTATGAGTAATTTTTTGCGCTCTTTTGATCATATTTTCTAGGTCTGGAGACATGCTTAGCCAGTCCATCACATTTGCCTTCAGCTTCTTCAGCAAAGCAGTGGTCGTCTTGGAGTGGTGTTTGGGGTTGTTATAATGTTGGAATACTGCCCTGCGGCCCAGTCTCCGAAGGGATGGGATCATTCTCTGCTTCAGTATGTCACAGTACATGTTGGCATTCATGGTTCCTTCAATGAACTGTAGCTCCCTAGTGCCAACAGCACTTATGCAGGCCCAGATCATGGCACTTCCATCACCATGCTTGACTGTAGGCAAGACACACTATTCTTTGGACTCCTCACCTGGTTGTTGTCACACACGCTTGACACCATCTGAACCAAACACATTTATCTTGGTCTCATCAGACCAGAGGACATGGTTCCAGTAATCCATGTCCTTAGTCTGCTTGTCTTCAGCAAACTGTTTGCAGGCTTTCTTGTGCATCAGCTTTAGAAGAGGCTTCCTTCTGGGATGACAACCATGCAGACCAATTTGATGCAATGTGCAGGGTATGGTCTGAGCACTGTCAGGCTGACCCCACGCCCCTTTAACCTCTGGCAGCGCTCATACATCTATTTTCCAAAGACAACCTCTGGATATGATGCTGAGCACATGCATTCAACTTCTTTGGTTGACCATGGCGAGGCCTTTTCTGAGTGAAACCTGCCCTGTGAAACCACTGTATGGTCTTGCCCACCATGTTGCAGCTCAGTTTCAGGGTCTTGGCAATCTTCTTATAGCCTAGGCCATCTTTATGCAGAGCAACAATTATTTTTTTCAGATCCTCAGAGATTTGCCATGAGGTGCCATGTTGAACTTCCACTTACCAGTATGAGAGAGTGTGAGAACGATAACACCAAATTTAACACACCTGCTCCCCATTCACACCTGATCCTTGTAACACTAAGAAGTCACATGACACTGCGGAGGGAAAATGGCTTATTGGGTCTAATTTGGACATTTCCATTTAGGGTGTACTCACTTTTGTTGCCAACGGTTTAGACATGAATGACTATGTTTTGAGTTATTTTGAGGGGACAGCACATTTACACTGCTTTGAGGGTGTACACTTACTACTTTACATTGTAGCAGAGTGTCATTTCTTTAGTGTTGTCACATGAAAAGATATAATAAAATATTTACAAAAATGCGAGGGGTGTTATCACTTTTGTGAGATAACCTGGCAACAGATCACCTGGCACCCTGACTGGGTACCTCCATTGAAGGATGCTCCTAGAACTTCCTGAGGGCTCCAAGCACTCCACCAGACACCTTCAGGCACTGAACGACACTCAGTCCTGGGAACTCTGGAACCGAATGGGGAATTAGCTCTAGTCCTTACAAAGACTTTCCCCGTTGAATCTCCTGTAAGCTGGAACAGCAGACACAGGAGCAAGTCTCCTTTCCCTTGAATCTCCTGCAAGCTGGAACAGCAGACATGGGAGCAAATCTTCTTCCCTTCAATAACAGGACGACACACAGTTATGGAGTGTAAACAGGAACAGAATGAACTGAGGGTTTATTGTCTCTTTTATACAAGTTTTCCCACAAGGTTACCACCCATGTGGACCTTGTGGTACACAGGACACAAAGTTACAAAGCACTATTGTACAGTTAGGCACTCCCAGATAATGTACACAAACCCTCCCCTCTGCCTGTGATACAATTAACAAACACAATGGACTAACTCAATTACCCACAGGCAGAAAACACACATTTTTCACAAAACACAGAAAACACCCCAAAACACCACATATTCCCACATTATACATCCCTGGATAGCCCTGATCTGAGTGAAAAACATATCCAAAAATCACCCAGATTAGAGCAGTGGTTCAATTGTTTTGTGGAAGTCACATTTGACTGACTGCAAGTATGGCTTTCATGCCCAAAACAGTTCCACAGATTTAGGCTGTGCGGCCAGTCTATCTTCTCCTCTATCCTGGAGATAATTGGCTTAAGTTGCTGTGGAAAGGCAATTATCTCCAGTAACAGGAAATATCTCTAAGTCCAAAAACTGTTAAAAAAAACCATAAAAATACATAACTCTTATAATACAATGTTTAACCTATATGTCCAACATATCCCCAGATAGCTTGGATCTGAGCGCTCATTATGTCCGAAAAGCGCTCAGATCTCACGAATACAGTTGGATCACCATGGGGTTAAACAATAGAAAGGGCTGATGAGAGATTGAGAAGGGATCAAAGCAGCCAGTTTCAACTGGTCTGGCAGTGTCCGTGGGACAACGCCCTGCTGGAGAACAAGGGACAGGAAAAAGGGGGAGTGGAATAGGCACATTTTCCCATGGATTTAAAGGGGCAGAAAAAGTGTCCCAAAATCCAACAAGTCACAGGGGCCATAATCACAGGGCAAAAGGCTAGCCATTAGTCCTCTCCAAGAACAAGTGGCGAAG